TATCCTTAATTTTGATATAGGCAAGACGGCTCGCATGGCTATTGGTTGTTCAGTGGCAACTGCAGCAGCCTATCGAGGCAACACTGGCAAGTAAAATCTAAGAATTTATTAGCTAATGGTAGATATTATTTAGTCGCCCAGAGTGAAGATTTAGTCGCATATGCAAGTTAATTACTGGCATTGTAGAGGGTTGTCAAGTCAGCTCATGAACCTGCTTCCAAAAAGTTGCTCTTTAAGTGCCTGAAGCCTTTTTTTTACGCCAACAAACTCCATAAATTCAGCTCATCCAAGAAGCAACCCACATCTTCCCCTAGAAGATTCCTTCACAGATTTAGACATTTATAATTTTTCTTTTTGGCAGCTGTGAGAGTTTTCTTCTTGGTCCATCTCTAGGGAAGGTGCAGTGCAGCTGGAACCTCATCTTTTGACCATCTTCATAAATCTGAATAAAGCTAGCAGATGACCTCAGCAGAAAAAAATAATGATAACAATCTTAAGACGATGTGCGGAGATACTTTTCACCAGAGTGTAACGCTTCATGGCTCGACCCACCTGGAGTGTGAAGCGCACCCTTAATGTTCCATGTTCACTTACACCTGGACTGGGATCTGCAGGGACTATTTGTGCAGTCTAATTTTCTCTAAATGTTGTTTGGAAGGTTGGTGGACTCAGAGAAGGGGCTGCAATGTTGATTGATGGCTGTGGTGATTCATCAATCCCTGGTGGAGAATAGCTGAAATGAGACTCACAATAAGTTAGAGAAAGAGGAAAAGAGAGCATTATGAGTGAAGGATAAGAAATGAAGACCTTCTGTCTGGTATAAAGGAATAGAAGAAATGCTAGGTATAGAAAGAGAAAGCGACAGATGAGTCAATAAGAAGAGACTACAAGTAGGCTATGTAGTTTATTTGAGGATAGATTATAAAATGCTCTACAAAAAGTTAAAAAGGTTTGGGATTAGTAAGATCATTTTTTAAGGAATTATTTTACTTAGAAGGGATTAAACTGATCAGAAGTGACAGTTTTATAATGATAAATTTAGCAATTGGTCGGCATAAGAGACCTTCATCTATTTCCGACCTCAAACTTTCGAACAGTATGTTATAAAATATGTATTTATTATTTGATTTTCATTTTGATATCTTGTCTTAGATTTAAAACATAAGATATATGATATATTTAGATTATGTAAATGTTTGTAAATGCACTTAACCTTGGTTAAAAGCTTTGGTTGACCATTACTGCTTTCCACGATTTTTCGCAGCAGATTTGTCCTTCTGGTATTAAGGGAAACTGCTAGTTATCTGTTGTTTTCCAGCGTGGGTTTGGGCTGCTTCAGCCACTGATGGGGTGTGGTTGGGTCTTAAGACTTTATATAAACATGGACAAGCACTTTTTCTAACCAAAAGCTGTAAATGGGGTATAACTTTTTTTTTTGATGTCACTGGTATCATAGTTTCTCTGAAATCTCTTGTTACAGTGTTCTCTGTATATACGCTCTCATACTTGCCCTTGACCTCATTTAGTTTGTAAGTGGTTGTTTGCGTATCTTAAGGTCATGCTCATTACAAGATAAATTACACTATTAAACTCTGTTTTCACAGCGCTCCCTTTGAGTGTTGATTCACATAGAAATGCTGGAACAACTCTTGTAAATGTTTGAACCATTTTATGCTTTAGTCAGTGTTTGGTTTAACAGTTTTACATTATACATTCATATAATTGTTTTTCATGAGTGCTTCGTTTATACTTTTCGAAACAGTTGCTGTGTATTCCAATTACATTTAGTGTGATATTTTTAGATTAGTATTTTTTGTCTAAAGCTGTCTGTAGATTTTGGAAGCTGACAAAAAAATTGTAGAGTAGATCCAGATATATCTTGCGACCATAGTTGGCTTTGGCAAATGGACCCTGGGCCAATATATTAATGCTTTATGGTTTAGTTGGACTGATGCATGGTTGTGATGCACATAAAGACTGATTTCAATTGCAGAGACTAATTGTTACATTTGCTCAATGAGTCAGATGGATTGTTCCCTTGTTTTGTAATTGCTCTTGAAATGATCACACATTTAGCCATGAACTGCCAGCTCTTTTTCCCACAGAAAACATCTGCGTTTCCTTAACCAGCTTTGGCTTATCTACAACTTGCCGTTTCCATTGTTTTATTCTATCCAGTACCTACTAGTTAATGTTCCAACAGCTGTATGTGTGCTTGCCTTCATTAAAGAGAAGATGGCAAGGAATGTTAATAGTAGTTTCCAGCCGATGCGAGGCGGAGGCTGATTTTAGATAATAGCCCTAATTTGTGTGGGAAACTGTGGACAACTCCTGGTCAGTGATGTGTTATATGGTCTAACCCCTAAACTGAGGTCAGGTCACTGAGGGCAGATTCTAATGTCAAGGAAGTAAGGGAGATGATGTACATCCAGCGTGTTGTTATTGCAGAATAAACCCCGACAGGGTGATCAGGACCACAACGCGAATTTGTATCAACCTGATAGGGTTTATTCTGCAATAACAAACGGCTGGACGTACATTATACTGCTTATGACACGGATATTTGCCACATAAGTTAATGATATTATGAGTATGAATATATTTTATTAGTTCTTTAAACGCAAATCTCCTGGGGAGATATCAGTTGCGAGCAAGCACCAAGTTCAAACACGGCATTTCGCCATATGGGGATAAGAAATGCTAATCTGAAATAACTGTACACAAAATATGGATTTTTAATATTTATTAGCTCACGCAATGCAAAACTGACTTCAGTAACCCGAATGAGCCTGTGGTACCGAATCAAGTATTCCACAGAGCTGTGTAATAATACTCTTTACATGCCATTATTATGTGGTTATTGCATGCTAGCATTACCTCAGTGTCTTGGCTAATACTCTTGTAAAGCTCTTAAATACAAGATTTACAATGTTCTTTTTAATTACAGGTCATACTCCTTAGTCATAGTTGTAAGATCTCAAGTGTGTGGAGCCTTTTTCTCATATGCAGTCCTGGGACATGTCTGAATAAAGACTTTAATTTCCTTTCATATTTTATTTAGTTTCGTATTTCATTTCATTAAAATGACTCATTAATTAAATCTTAAGTCAAAACTTAATATATCAGATTGTCTTACTTGTTTTATTTTTATTTGAAAAATAAATAAACCTTAGATTAAAGATTGTAATAAATTAAAAGTTTGCAAATTTAGCTTAAATTAAGCTTTCAGTTATTGATTAAAAGAATTGTACATTTCACATAAATTGAATTACAAAAATCTATTTTGGAATAATTGCATTAAATAAAATTTTTACTAAAAAAAAGTGCCTCTAATGCTTTAAAAGTTTAATTGGACAGCAGTTTGTAGCCCATCTGTGTGTTGCATGCAAATAGTGGGACACAACTAACTAGCTATAATTGTTTTGGTAATTAAAGTAAGTTAATTATTACAAATATTTATTCTAGTCTGGTCTGAAGAGTAGAGTTGAAATGTGAAGGTTTCTTCCAGACATAAGGAACACATTTTGCAAAGGCATACCAAATGTTTAACCAACACTGATATCATTTTCAGATGTGGGTTTTAAGTTTTAGCGTAGATATACGTTTTTTTTTCTCCTCCACATGCCTTTCCTCTTGCATGTTTCCAGGCAGTTGAGATGGTTGTCTGATGGTGGTCTGATATGACAAGACCAGCATATCTCCATCTTCGCTCCCCTGTGCCCTGGAGCCGCTGGATTCAGGCCTGTCTGAGATTGATGCTCATCCTTTTAGGACTCTTATCTTACAATACACCCATACCCATCCTCAATCTATTTCCCTTTGTGACTAACAAAGCTCTCAGAGCACTGCACGTTCTGATTACCCATCCCTCTTCGGTTATCTTTTCTTGCGATCAATGTGTTATTTTCTGTCATTATTGTTCTCGTTAACCACAAAACGTGCCAGGCTCTTGCTAGCATTCAATAAATGCTCATTCAGTCTTCCATCTCTTTGGCTTTTTCCTCTTTTAATGGTTTTATTTTTACCCTTGTTTAATTCTTTCAGTATGGTTTTTACTGGGTCACCGGTTGTCAAATTTGCTTTGTCAAGGGCTTATTGACTTTGTTTGGGTGGAGATGTTTGCATCAACATACTGTAATCCGGTCTCTATATACTGAGGACGTCATGGAAGAATAAATGTAAAGCTCTTGTCCTCGATTCTCCTGACAGGGGTTCCTATTACATGTTACCGCCCTTTGACTTTTTGCACTGTTTTGCTATACTTTTGAATTTATTGCTTAAAAAATGTAGTTAAAATTTGGGTTGGTCTGTATTTAATTGTAGTTTTCCTGCTTTAATCAATCAGTGTATTTAGTAACTGGAGGTTGTCTGTATATACAATCGTCAATGTTTCTGGTCTGGCAAATGAGCACGTGTCTGAATCTATAACATGGCAGCTTGAACCCTGGCTCACTCCAGACTTTTAGCTTTCATCAAACGGAGAGAGAAATCGATCTGCACAAGTGCTGGTTTGATGGCTCTGGCCCTCTGGATGATCTTGTCATGTGTGATTGTGCAGTCAACTGACAGGAGATTAACTCGTTCAGTGTTACTTGTGTTTGAGGCTGTTGGACATGTACAGCTGTGTACAATGCTTTTCTCTGTTAATATTTCTTCCATCTGGATCATTAAGGTCATGAAGGGGTCCAAAGCTGGGCTTTGTGTCTGATCTGGAGTGGCATGTACTTTCATTTCAATTTTGTGTTGCTGAATAGACTGAAGCTAATTGTGAACAAGCGGACATTAAGACACGTTTAGTCTTTGATTTAAACTTTAATGTATAGTTCACCCATAAATGTTGTTTCCCAACATTCTTCAAAATATCTAAACAAGATTTTTTTTTTTAGTTCTTACATGTGCATTTTAAAACGTTTATAGTCTACAAACAAAATGGCTGTTTGAACTCCGGAAAAGTCTGTATGTGTTGAGCTAAATGTAGCCTTGTGTTTTTTTCCCCTCAGGTATTTGGAGATTATTATCACTTCAGGCACCGCAAGGTGGTGAAGAGGTCTTTATCAGAGCACAGAGGAACACACATTCGTCTGCAAACAGAACACCAGGTATGTGTGAAATGTAGATCCGCCTCAGAACAGCCCCTTCCAGCAATCCCCCCCCCCCAGGAAACTCAAAGGTTTTATTGACCAAGCCTTGTCTAAATGAGATGTTAGAAGCCAAAACACTGAAGCCATTGATATCGGAATAAGCCTGACAGAGAGCGTAAAGAAATTAATGATTATATTATGTTGTAAAAATACACAATTTTTCACAAATAACGATAACACACAAATATTATGTATTACAACGTTCTTTTTTTAATTGGGAAACCTAGAAAGTTACACAATTTGGACCCCTTCTCATTAAAGTTTATCCTTTTATTTATTTATTTATACAGACTATTCATCATGCTCAATAATGCAACCGTTTTATTTTAACATGACTTTGCTTAAGTAAATGTTTTTTGGGACCACCATTTGGTTCCTAATCTAGCCAACCCCCCTTTCTTTTTGATTTTGACATTTAATGATAATTGTTAGAAAATAAATGGCATTTTAGTCATGATCAAATTTGATGAAATAGAGCATGTCATCATGATTTTTGATAAAAGGGTTGCAACATTTGCAGACCTCATACAAAATGCATTAGGGCTGCATGATATTGGAAAAACAGTTTTACCAGATGAATAGCTCTATTTGGAAAGAATAAATAATTCTAGAATGAATGGGGTGTTTTTGTAGGGGAGTGATGCTGCATAGAAAATAATAAACAAATAGCAGATAGCATAGATAAATCCAATAGAACAAAGATACAAATGAAAAACTGTGCTTTAGTCTGTTTTTCAAGTATGTCTAATGGTATTCAGGTACATAAATAACACTGCTTAGGCGTCACTGTATAAATTAAATATAATTAATCTTTGTTAAAGCTACGAAAGTGTTTTGTTTGTTCATATTTTGTTGTTTGATTAACATTTAATGACTCAGACAGCAGTGGGTAAATTAGGCTGCTGTCACTTTAAGAGCTCATGCACAGATCCAATATAATGAAATGTACTGTATCCATTTTCTTTCTCAATTGTTTACATTCACAGCTATACTCTTTCAAATGTTTAAACTCACTTGAATGATTAAACTGACAGGACCTAAAATCGTGCGAATGATACAGTTTCATTAAAATTTCCAATTAATCAAAGAAATTCATGCGTTTGTACTGTGCCTGGTCCGTAAGGATCACGTATGAACTACAATCCTTATACCTGACATCGCACATTCTGCGATGTTACTATTGTGAAGGCACACATCATGATATCAGTGCTAAAACGATGGATCACACAGGCCTAAGATTAATATAAAATGAAACAATTATATATATTATTTAGTTTGACCTTATGAGGTTGATAATCAACATTTTATGAAGGTTAAACAAATCCTTCTTGTAAGATTCTTGTATCTTTCTTGTAAGAATTTCTGCCCCTAATTTGGACACTATTCATGGAAATTGCCTTGAAGCAAGTAAAGTTTAAAGCGAGCAAGTGATTTGCTTTGTGCTGATTTATGACATTGAACTATATGACTATATTTTGCAGTGTGCCTCTTTTTCTAACTTCAGCCTAGCTTCAGCTAATAGGACATGGCATTACTTTGGACATTCGCTATTGCCCTTAATGTTTTTAAGTTTGTCTGGTTCCTCAAAGACCTTACATTTCCTCAGGGACTTCATCTTTGTTATAATTTGACACTCTGCATCACACTCTCTTTTCATTTTCTTTTCTTTTCTTTTCTTTTTAAAGGTTTAAGAGGAGACATTTTTTATTTGTCCAGAGATGCTTTTTTTCCTTTTCCCAACTGTCTCTAGAAACCTTGCTTTTTTATGTTCCTCTGTCTGAATTGTCTACTCTGAATGTTGTTGTGAATCTTTCCGTTCATACTCACACTCTGTTTTTGTAAAGCTTATATATCACAACTCCTCGGTTTCCTCCCGTGTGTATACTGCTTTTAAGAACACCAAATAAAACACTGTCGGTTTCTCTTGTCACAGGTGTGAAATACGAGGGTTTAAAGTTGCGTTGCTCACGATGCGTCGACCTGACATCTGCGTTCGTTCAGTACAGCCTTAGAATTTGTCGTTCACCGGCCTCTCTGATCCAGATGGCGAGTTTTGAGGAGATGTGAAACACAAACCCTGCAATTTTAATGCCAGAGGAATGCTAAGGGCTAGAAACCCCCTTAATGGAAATCACTGACTGGACCCGCATGGCCCATTACTCAACTTTTAGAGGGGGTTAAAAAGTCCATCTTGTAACATGGCTGCAGCGCCACGCTCCATCAGCGAGAATGGCCTCCAGGAGCAAAGCGACTTCCCTCGAGATGGGAAAAGCACTCCATTGTCCAGTGGGCAGAAGTGATGAGGTGTGTGAATTATAAACTCGACTGGGTCCCAACACAATGATGGAGAGTCATCGCATGAAGTGTGTCTAATGTCAAATACAGTTCCAAAAAGTTTCTTTTGTTCATGAATACTCAATGATTAGTCCTTGAGCTACGATGATGCTGGTTGTCCTCTTAAATTCCATGCATTGGATGCATTGTCAAAGACACAAGTCTTTTGGGAAGAGCGCTTTTGAACAATCTGTTAAATTTCTATTATAGCTTTTCTCATGCTACTGCCTCCTTATGATCAATCACTTTTTGTATTGCTCCTTTGCAGTCACTTTTGATGAACGCATCTGTTAAATTTGAAAACTACCTTTTTGTTGCTGTGACCATTAAGGCTGATTTAAACTTACGCTAGAGCCTCTACACATTGGTTTTCATTTATACTTTTGTGTCGTTGCCGCATTGACGCGCAATTAGGCTGTGTGTCCTCCAAAACGTTTTTCCACGCGCCTGGCGTATGTTTTCAATTGTTTTCAATGGGAGCGCCGCGGTTTTTAAACGCCATGAACGTAACGAGGCACTGAGACTGAGCGTTTTTTTTTTTTTTCACGCTGAATTGCCAAGCGCCCAGCGTTTTTTACTGGTCGCCGAGAGTTGAAAAATGTTCAACTTCGGATAAAACGGAGCGCTCATCAGTGTCACTTCTTACCCAGCCATCCAATCACAGTGGAGGAGGGGCGGGACTAATACCACACCGACCAACTGTCACAACATTCTTTCTGTACAACGACATCAACCAGCAGAGCTAAGCAAACAAAATGGATGAAAAATAATTTTTTAGTATAAAACAAATTATCTGCGAAATCAGTTCTAAAGTAAACTGTGCTGCGGATATTCTGTATCATAGCAACGAAAGGTCTCAATGGAAAAAACGCTGCGCTGCCAAAACGCTTTCAAGCGCCCAAAGCACAGCATCTTCAGCAGAGCTTTGGTGGACACACGGCCTTACACATGCAGAGGGAGCCTGTGAAATCGGAGGTAGTGGTTCTAGCTGACCAATCTCAGCACTTGCGTAGAATTGACGTAGAACAGAGTACGCGGACTACACACAGTCTACAACGTAGCTACGGCGTGAGTTTGACACAGAAATTTAATTGGGCTTTAATGCTCCCTTGCCAAGTGAACCAACACCACTCATTCTCCAATGATTTTGTACAAAACATCTGTAGTGTTGTCAAATTAAAATTTTAGCTGCAAATATTTGTTGTATTTTAGATAAAAATGCCAATTGGAAAGTCATTTCAATTAAAACCACGTTTAAAAAAAATTGCTCTAACTGCTCTAACAATAAGAATAAAAATCTAGAAAGAACAGTTCTAGTGTTTCAAATTCCAATGCAAACTTTTCGGGGATTGCATTGCTGCTGAACACCAGTAAAATGAAGTGCTTTACTAACATTTTATTTCATTCACCCAAATGCTTCTTGTATCCTTAAAAACAAATCAGACAAATAAACAACATAAAGATAATTTAGCAATTTGCTTCTGCACAATATGATGGGAATGCATCATAAAAGTGAACTGCGCTATGGTAAGTCACCTTGTAAATGTATTCTTTTTGTACAGTAGCAAAGTGTGTTCAAAACCAATTTATTACTGTAGTATGCTCTTTTTAACTAGTATTTTGGAGGTTTTCACATCAAGGGCAGTTTTCCCTTTTTTTAAAAATAAATCTTTAAATCAATATATAAAATGATTAATCGAAGGAAAAAAAAATACTACAGTGATCAATACTTCAGAAACATGTTGTAAACCGAAACCTTTGACGCTCTTACACAGATACACACCGCCTTAGCGGGTACCGAATATAAACTGTACTCGGTACTACCAACTTTTAATTTCTGTACCGACTTTGTACCAAAGTACCGGTACTTTTGACAACCCCACAAATGACTATTTTTGTGACAGAAATCGCTCCTTGTGAAGTGAAACCTGCACTCATGTGAAGATGTTGCTCTTGTAAAGCATTTCAGTCCTGTTGCCTGCACTCTCAGCGGGTCCCAGTGGCATTTCCCCTGACTGCCCTGCTCCACTTCCTGTTGTTGAATTCTTTCACTCCTTTTCGCTCTACATGTTTAATCTCAAACAATAGTGACTGTTGTCAGATTTGGAGTGCTAATTACTTTGTTTATACTATGTCATATTTAGCTTGACCTTTTCATTTGGGCAAGTTTTAAGTAAAGTCTTGCATGTCTAATAAATTACATATCAAGAAAAAGCATGCATTAAGGCATGCCGAGTCTGAAATTTGCATCCGAAATTTCCGCACGTTAAAAAATAAAATACGACCTCACGTTATGTCAATCACGCTTGCACACCGCCTCCGAAACTTTCGTCCTTCATTAAAAAAAAATCGAATCAGGTTCGATTTTCTGCGTTTTTCGCATCCGTAGCAAGCAGTCTGAATGGTGTTTTGACCATTCATAGCCACCAAATCACGAATACGAAAAAACGCATACGAAAATGTCGGACTCAGTGTGCAATGGCCTTTAGTTTTTATGGCTAAATGTTTTGTGAAAATATGATTTCAGCAACTGCATTTTAGTAGAGATTGAGATATTTCTCCCTTTATGTTTCATCTTCAGCTCTCTCTCTCTCTCTGTTCTGTCCATCACACGGTCCATCTTCATAGCTTCAGAAATGCATTTCCTATTTCTGAGTCTTTTGGCAGCATTCATATTCTCTTTGAAACCCATTTGGCTCAAGTCAAAACATCAGAGCTGTCACAGATGTATTTATTATGCATTGCATTGCCAACTGAGTACTGGCTCTAATTGAGCTTACTTTCAGATGAGGTCGATCTTTAAAAGTTAGAAACGCTTATGTGTGCTACTTTTTTAATTACCGCATTACTCTTGCTAATTAATCAGCAGGGGGGGAGAGTGATACAATGTTTAGACAACATGTCTCTCTTCAATAAGTTGCCAAGCAGACAGCCTCAGATATTAATCCGCGTTCCTATCCAGCACTTTTTTTCATCCATTTTCTTGGATCTGCGCTCCAGTGATAACATCAGTGGGTTTTGAACTTTATCTTGCATGTTTAAAAAGATCTTGCTACAAAGCGACTAAAAATATATCTACTCCAAAACTTAAGGGACTTGATCATAAAAATACATTTTTATCTGAAACTTTGAAGTGACATTGGAATTTTGTCTTAATTTTAATCAACTTTTTAATGATCTTTTTGCAATTTTGAATATGAAATTGAATTTTGTTTTGACTTTTCAACGATCAATTGCGTACGATTATGGGTCTCGCGGCCAATTTTTAACCTTGAAACATGAATAAATCCATAACTCCAAGTATAAGCCACATTAACAGTGATGCTTGCCTTAACACTAAAATGTTTGTGGAAATGTTTGATTTTTGTCTGTCAAGTCAAACAAAGAACCTCTGACAACATGACCTAAACTTTGAACAGCCGTCACTGCACAAATGATTGGTTAAATATTAACTCATTTATCTGGAGAATGCAAATATAATGCAATTCTGTAGATTACCAGAATATCATGCTTTGCACATACAGTTTCATCATAACAACTTGACCTTGAGGGACGTTGAGTGGTGGGTCAAGTTGATGTGTCCAGATTTGTCTTTAGGCCTGTGAATCATTTTTCTTAATATTCACTTCACTCTGCTGTCACATGTCTGTCCATTTCATCCACTTTGAAAAATCTCATTCTAGACAGTGAGCAGTGAGCTCTGGCGTGAGCAACACTGAGAGCTGTCAATCACATAAAGTGCCACCGTCTGCGTTTTCTGCCCCGCTGCGGCAGTCGCTGCCCCAGAGAAACAGCTTCCCGTCTTTCAGCAGGCCTCTCTGTCTTTGTGTTGAGTGGAGGAGGATTGTGGGGAGATGGAAAACAGGACGGCGTCTGTCAGCAGATTTCATCAGCTCTTATTTAATGACATGAAATCCAAATTGGCCATATTTACTGTAATGTTTCTGGTCTTATTGCACACGTTTCGTCGTTACTTGCCATTCTGCCTTATTCGAAATGTTTTTTTAATATCTTTCATCAAAATCAGGGCTTTCATTTGTCCTGTTGTCGACAGACTCAAGTGTGTTGATTACATCAGAAATTGAACACGCATCTGTATCCAGTGTAGACAGCATCACAGATTATAACCAACTACGGTGCGATGATTTAGAACTATTCGTCGATGTTTTGCTGTCAAGCTGATTTTGGAGCTTTATTAAATAATTTGTACATGCTTTGTCTATAATGAGGAGGTACAAAGACCTCTTATGTCAAAAGATCAAGGCAAATGTGTCATTGCCCCTTTAATTATCCATTGATGATTCATGATCTTTAGAACTGAACTGATGGGAAACTTTGGAAACAAATACTTCTCGTATGACTCTGACTGTTTGTTTGTTTGTTTTTTTCAAGGTAATGTGGGCGGAACAGCAGGTGGTAAAACGAAGAAAGAAGAGGGATATTTACAATGAGCCGACCGATCCGAAATTTGCACAGCAGTGGTACTTGGTGAGTAAATAGCTCATCGGTTTGTTTGTGTGCATACGTGTGTTCACAAACTGTTTGTTTATTTTGAAGCACGATACCTCCCGCTCAGAGTGGATGGTGTGGGTGGGCTGTTGTAATGTTCTGTTTGGGTTCATAGAATTGTGTTCCTTTTGCCCCTATTAAATGGGACGTTGTGTAACAGTGAACTTATTGCCATTATAGTCATCCGGTGGAGCTTAAAGTTTAATCAGCCGGTTGTGATTTGGCTCTTCGGAAACATTCCAGAACTGCCGGCCTTCACTTTACGTCAATATCTTCTGCTTATATGCCACTCGCTATTTAAAATGGCGTATTTAATTTGTTTGTCAGTGAGATGTTGAAATGACTATGACTGTATTTATATTCACACATTTTTCATCTAAATTCATTTCATTCCAGTTTGATGAAATACACATTTTCATGAGAAATAAACAGCATTTGGTGTCAACAATCAAACATGAAGAATGCAATGCTTTCTCTTGAGTCTCTTGACTAAAGAAGTACTTGACCACCTGCTTCTTACTTGAAAACACAAGAATTCGAAGCAGCGTCCCAATTGCATCTGGCGTAAATATTAGCCTCCTCCTCAAATAAATTATGAAAGGATGTAACAAATATGAGTGAGAGAAGGATTTGTTTGTGACTGAAAATATTACATGGCAGTGACTGATCAGCCTAAACATTATGAGCAAATATTGTTTATCATCTCCTAACAAGCCCACTGATTTAGGTCTAGGTAGATTAGATGGTAAGCAAACAACCAGTTCTTATAACTTGTAACTTGTTGGAGTTACAAGTTATAAGGAGAAATGCACAGGAATAAAGGTCTGAGTGACTTTTGTTATGGCAATGTGCCTGGGTCAGGCTATCTCTGGCTTTTGGCTTGATCCCAGCAGTGGTGAGAATTTGGCAACAGTGGTCCTAGGAGGGACAAACCACAAACTGGCAACAGGGAGTCCACCAAGGCTCATTGTTACTCGAGGACAACGAAGGCTATCCTGTCTGGTATGAGCCGACAGAAGTTCTACTGTAGCACAGGTCACAGAATTTTAATGACGGTTATAGGAGGAATGTGTTACAACACCCAGTGCATCGCACTCTGCTGCGTATGGGACTCCGATCAGAGTGCTTATGATGATCCCTGTCCATCTTCAAAAGTGCCTACAATGGGCATGCAAGTGTTGGAAATTGACCTTGAAACCAAGTTCGATCGACAGCGGCTCCACCTTGCAAAAGGATCTGCTGCTCACTAGGGATGGTAATTGAAAACCGGTTCCACTCGAGAACCGGTTCTAAGTTTTACGATCCATCGATATTGTATGCCCTCGATGTTAACGAGTCCTCTTATTGAGGCTCCTGCTCTGAGTCAGCCATAGTATGTAGGCTACAGACCATGAACTCACAAGTGTCCATTTTGTCCTTTATCAAGCACCATAGCACGGCATCCAAAGCGAATTTTTGTACTGCCAAAGCCTTATTTGATCGGTAAGTAAAATTGTCTCTCTCTGTAGTGATGAACCGTGACCGGGCGCATATTAAACTGCGAAAGTAGGCTTCACCGTCTCAAAACTAAGCGCTGTCTTGCTCTCTCTTTCTCTCTCTCTCCATCGCATATATTAATCAAAATAAACGACACGATGGTAAGGTTGGGAGACTAAAGTTTGATGTGAAGCATTTGGAGATTTGTTTTTGCTGAATTACTAATGGGTGTGAATTGTGCTAAAATAGGCCTACGTTACCTTATTTTCTCTGAAAAGCTTTCCGCACATTCAGCTTACACAAACCACACTTCAAATAAAGGAAAAAAAAAGAAACGATCCAGTGATGAAATGTTTTCTGTGATGATGACACACATCTTGTCCCCTTATCCTCCGATAATAACAAGTTCAATTCGTGAACTAATGACTCATTTGAACCGATTCGTTAATGAATGGTTTAAGCAACTGAACTGATTTTTCCAACACTGAACTCAAGGGACGTTTAATCGATGTATATCTAATCATACCACTTTTCAATAAGGTTCCATTTATTACATAAATTACATAAAAGTACAGTTTGCTCAGTCAAGTGTAAGGTTCTTGTTTTTTTTTTCCCCAAAAAAGCATATGACTACTTTTCCCCCACTCAGTGCTATCAGGAATCGATAAGAGAATCGTTAAAGAGTCGGATCGACAAGCAGAATCGTTAGAATCATATCAAGTCCCATCCCTACTGGTAATGTCCTGCGGTGCCAGATACACTTGTAGACTTCTTGCCTAGGCGGGTCAGTGCTGTTTGGGGAAGTATGCAGAAGGCATGTGGTCATAATGTTATTGTTTTGGTTGATCTGAATATTTTTCTGTTATTATCTTAGATCTGCACCACCTCTTTTAATTGGATAGAAGTTTAATTTAGATCATACCAATTCTTCTTTTTTTCCAAGATTGTATCAACAACTGTTATTTGTATTGTTTTTCTCATAGTCAAATCTTATTTTTCTACTTTCACTATTATTAAAACAATGACCATTAAATGAATTTACACTTTTTAAAACCCTCATGAATACTTAAATTATAACTTATAGATCTGTTTTCAATGACGTGTGCATGTTTGTTTAATATGAACATATATTTATTTGAATATATCTTATTTATATAACTAGTTGTTAAGATTCCCCCCACACCCCATATATGGTATTTATGAGAATTCTGCAGTGTAATGAGAATAGTTAATTTGTGTTAAGTCATTGCTCTGTCATTCTCCATTCAGTGGTGATTCACCAGACCCGGACGTTTTGTTCCAGCTAATGAACCAACAAGACAATAGATGCTTTTTCTCACTTTTTGAGGAATGTCATGAGTTGGAAAAAAACAATAAAATTGTACTCTGAGCTCCAGTCCTTTTTCAACACATTTTTTCCCCCTCTTTGTGGCAATCAATCATGTTTATCAGTACAACGGGTAAAAGCCACTCAATAACATTTCCGCAGAATGGAATGCTGGGAAAGTTGACCGAAGGTTATCAACTGCAATTTTTCAGCCTCACCACCATTATAACTGGACCTTTGAGGCGAGATTGCATCATTTTGCCTGATGTAGACCTAATAAATATACTGTCAGTTCTCTTCGTTTGACTTGCAATCCCAGGACATACAAGAGAATGTATCATTTTGGGGTCATCAGACCTTACTCCGCCTTACTGGCTTCAATTTCTCCCGGCAACCACTCTGGGGAGCAGAGCAGTTACACTGTGACCAAGAGGAGATTCAAAGAGCCATGCAGAGAGAAATAAATTCAATTTTCTGCTCGGATAAACTCTGTTGGCCATGCTCATTTCTGCACTGGAGTGACACACGTGTGAAATGGGGAGAAGTCAGATCTCTTTGGTCATGACAGTCAGACAGTTGGCTGTACCGTCACCCCCACAGCGCTTTTTGCTTGGTTGTTCGACATTTGGATGTTTGTTTTAGGGATGCACTGATATGAAAAATTTGGCCCTGTATTTGAAAGCCGATAACTGATATATTGAATCGAAATCCATTCAATTCCATCCATTCCATTCTAAATCCATCTAAATTTGTATATGATTTTTTTTTTTAGAGATTGATTACAAAAAAAAGTCTCATCATTAAAAGCCATGTCATAAATAAAATGAAATAGTTTATGAATGGACAGTAATTAAATTAATGATATTTATACAACATAAACATAGTAGAACTTATATCTGCACAAAATGACACTAATGCATTAGTGAACTTGAAGTTATGTGCTAGTCAGAATGTGTCATGTTGTGGTTGCTCTGAAATACGGAAACTAAACCCAAAGAATTAACAGCGTTTATCGGCTTTAAGATATCGGGCAAATTTTCCTATTGGACCGATAACGTTAAAAATGAACATTGTCGTCAGATTCCGATATGGTGGCCGATATATCATGCATCCTAGTTTGTTTTAGTTGCAGTCGACTTATGCTCACCACCATGGCTGCGTTTATTTGATCAAAAATAAAGTAAAAACAGTAATATTGTAAAATATTATTACAATTTAAAATAACTGGTGATTTATATTTGAATATGTTTTAAATGTAATTTGTTGTGATGTCAAAGCATCATTACTCAAGTCTTTAGTGTCACATGATTCTTCAGAAACCATTCTTATATGCTCATTTACTGCTCAAGAAATACTGCTCCCATATTGTCAATGTTGAAAACAGTTGTTCATATTAACTGTTATGTATTTTTTAGGATTCTTTGATTAGAAAACGTTTAAAAAGACAGCAAATAAAGCATTCATCTGACATATAAATCTTTTATAATATTATAAATGCCCTTTTGATCAATTTAATTCACCCTTGCTGATTTCAAGTATAATTTTCTTTCAATTAATTATTTATTAAAATTTTGTTTTGTTGATAGCAAATATTTATAGTATTTTCTTTTGTATTATTATTATTTATTTATTTTTTTATATATATTTTTCACAATTCAGTTCATTAAATGATAGGTTCTTGATCTCCTTTAATTTATTTCCTCTCTGTCCAAATTTAATTCTGGCATCAGTGCAAAAACTGCTTCATATTATTTAATATATTAGTTTATGTGTGGAAATAACATAAAATCATGCAACAGTAGCAGCAAGAGAACCACAAGAAAACCAGACCTGAGGGTACAGTATGTGAAGGGCACTGTGTCAGGGCATCGCAATAACTGAGACAGTTTCATCATCTTTCATGTCTAGTACAGGACGCCATGTGCTATTGAGGTGACTGCAGTCTGCAGAGAGCTGGTTTCAGCTTCAAAAGTGAAAGATAATCCTCAAACACGGGTTGATTTTTGGCGTCAGCTGCATAGCTGGCCAGCGAGAAGTGGCATCTATGCTGATCTGTTTTTTTTCCCCCCTCTTCCATTCAGTACAATGAAGATCACCGTGACCTCAACGTGAAGGAAGCCTGGAAGCAGGGCGTCACTGGACAAGGCGTCGTCGTGTCCATATTAGATGATGGAATTGAAAAAAACCACCCAGATTTGCTTCAAAACTATGTGAGTTTGAGTAAACAACCATTACCTTTGACATAAAACCGATTCACTAAATGTTCCCTCATGTTTTCAGGATCCAGATGCTAGCTATGATGTTAACGATGGCGACCCAGACCCTCAACCTCGATACACGCAGCTCAATGATAACAGGTATTATGTACAAGATAACCAGTTAGCATAATTGACTGTAATTTACTTGATGGAATCAAACCTAGTTTAGGTCCCCTTTGCAAACCCAGTGATTCATGGGCTGTTGCAGCTCAAACTGTTTTTGTTTGTTTTTCTCGTCTAAGCCATCACTGTATTTTGTGCCTAGGCCTGAAGCCCCTGGCATAAAACCAGCTGAAGTATGAATACTACTATACATTTACTGCTTTACTTAATGAGGCCAAAGGTTTCCCCTGCACCGTGGAGATGGGCACAGGAATACACAGCCTGTAATATAGTGTGATTAGTGCTGTTTCCGACGTAGCCCATTTATATTGGATGAGAACTCCTTTCCTAATGAGTTTTTTTGCCTACCCAGCAAAGCAAATGGTACCACTATAATTTTCATTTGCAATCTACAATAATGATTTTCGTTCATCGTTCATCATTATTCATTTATTGCATCATTTACTAATTTAATGTCGTCACACATGATCACTCTTGGCCAGATGCAGTTTACTATGTAAAATTCCAGCAATAAAAAAGACATGAATTGTGAATTGACTCGGCAAGATGCAAAACATACAGCATTCAGTGACATTCACACTGACAGCTTTTCAAAACTCATCTGTCCTCTAGTGTGCGTTCCTTGGCTTCATGCTGTTCAAGTTTATCCTACAGTATGTAGGTTCTCTGGGTGTGCTGGAGCTAGCATATCTTCCAACCGATAGCATATTTTTTTTACACTAAATTAAATTCATTTATATGTAATACTCTTGAGACAGGCATGCAGTTAGTAGTAGGCCACAGCTTTCACTGGATGCTTGTGTGTTTTGCTGCTGGGGAAATTAGTTTCTTTGTGATTGATGTGTTGTGAATTTTGTTCCCTCCGTGGATTGTGTTTTGTTGCCTTGGTAATGGCTATTCACTATACTGGGTGTTTTTTGGCTTAGTTCATAAATCACCAGGGATTTAGGTTCAATTGTGAAGAAGGTTGGAGTTGAGAACGGGTTACTTTAAAAGAGAAAATTCCGTCAATATGTCAATCTGAACCTGTATGCTTTTTTGTTTCTGAGAAAATCTCCATTTGGACACAGTTAGTAGTGACCTTGGACTTTCAAGCTCCAAAAAAAACCTCCATCAAATTAGTCCATGAGACTTGAGAGCTAAATTCAAGGTCTTCTGGAGCCATACGACAGTTTTGTGACAAACCAAAAATAACAAAATTCCTAATTATTTACCGTAACTCCGCCACAGCTCACAACTGTTTTTTTGTTTTGTTTTGTTTTTTTATAAATATGTGGCATGTTTGATTTGAGAGCTGCTGATGTGTGTATTTAAAAGATTATAAATAGTTTGGGTTTAGATCTGCACCACCTCTTTTAATTGGATAGAAATTTAATTTAGATTATACCAATTCTTCTTTTTTCCAAGATTGAATCAACTCTGATACTATAATAATAATAATTCATGCAGTGTTTTACTGTTCTTTATAATGTTTTTTCTCATAGTCACCTCTTATTTTTCTACTTTCACTATTATTAAAAACAATGACCATTAAATCAAAAAGTAAAAGGTTTTTTAGATGTTTTTGCTGCCTCTTATGTTCACCAAGGCTGGATTTATTTGATCCGAAAATAATACAAAATAGTAATATTGTGAAATATTGTTCAAATATTTAAATAATCATTTCATATTTTATCTGTGATGGCAAAGCTGAGTTTTCAGCATTATTACTCCAGTCTTCGGTGTCACATGATCCTTCAGAAATCGTTCTAATATGTTGAATTTATGCACATGAAACATTTCTTATTGTTAAAAATGTTGAAACTGCTCAGTGTTTTTGTGGAATCTTACTGACCCCAAACTTTTGAACGGAAGTGTAAAAATATCTCTCTGTTTATCACTCAAAGATGCGATGTATAGCTTCAGAGGAATTGGATTTATGATTCTGCTTGTGGGAAGTATACACTTTTGATCGTTTTGGTCGACAAAAGATCTGTTTAAGATTTAAACATGTTTTTTATTCTCAAAGTTTTCCATGGAATAACTAACAGTATACAAATTTAGAGTGAAATGAAGGTTAGTCACTGATGACTGAACGGTCATTTCATCGGGTGAGCTATTGCTTTATAAGCTTAGGTTTCATCATATCTGTCATCACCACCCCTCCAAACAGAATCAAACCCATCAATATTTATAAAACAAGACATTGTTATGGCTGACCAACACGGCTAAACTCTCTATTGTCATCTAACGAAGAGTTGAACTCTGGTCTGTCCTACTTTCACTTTGGGATTTTCCTCTTTTGTCCATATTTTTGTTTAGTTTTTTTGGGATACCAGCCAAAGAGCCGTTTTTATCTTGAGGCTAACCATGATTGGTGATGACAGGCAGAAAAGCGTATAGTTACGAGTGGGTAGAAATCAAAGGTCTTGGGCTGTATGGCACAGCTTTGTAGTTTTGTGTAGGGGCCGTCCCGTGCTCTCCTAATGAAAGTACCCCACTGGGTAGACCGCGTTGGCGTGACTCCTATAATGGACGCTAATGAAATAACATCTTTGGTGCTTGATGAAATGTGATCAAGTTTGACTTTTAAAACATTTCGTAAATGGTTTTGCAATGCCGAAACACTTTCCTAGTCACTATAAAGCATTAAGGATCAGTTAAAATGTCTCTATCTGATAATGCAAAGACAGCTGGAGATACATTAGTAGCAGTTGTACAACAGCAGTAGCAATTTTGCTCTTCACGTTATTTAGCTGCCATGTTGTCTTCTGACCCCTGCTGTGAAATTTCCCATCTTCAATCTACTACTTTTTTCTGAAACCCATCTCTTCTTGTCGCTTTTTTCCTCTCTATTCTAGCACTCTCCAGATAGGTATTTTGCCATTGCACTGAACCAGTCCTTGCATCTTATACCACAGAACCACAAAGCTGGTTTCAGGTTTGCAACAGTAGCAGGGAACCTTTAGTAACACTTTCAGTTCTCAGGCATCGTGTGTAACCAACCCTGTGTGTGTGATAAGTGCATATACTGTATGTGTATACAATACAACATCATTGCACATGCAATTAATAATTTGCCATTTAAAATTTAAAATTAAGTTATTAAAAAAAATTGGATTTTAAAAATGCATTTAATGGGCCATTCAGTAACTAATTTCTTACAGTTTATTAGCTCAATTTCAATGGGCTTTATGCCCAGCTGCACTACTTCCTGAACTTCAGCCAGCTCCTTGTTTCCTGTCTGCCATTATTGGTCAAATTGATTAATTCAGGTGTACCTGACCTCAGTAGTCATGGCAACAATAATCAGACACACCTGAATTAATCAATTTGGCCAATAATGGCAGACAGGAAACAAGGAGCTGGCTTAAGTTCAGGAAGTAGTGCAACTGGGCATATAGCCAATTAATAGATTCATACTCTTATGATTATTATGTGATAAATATGACTGTTTTCCTGGTGCATGTACAGTACATTCGTTAAGTAAAAACCAGTGAGCAGAACATAGTGATTATTGTTAACTATCTTTTTTTCGTTTTACTTTAAACTTTTTGAATCTTGACTGTAGTGGCTTTTTTGGGCAGACTTGTCTTTTTATTAATGATTTTTATCGGTTTCAGAGCTAAAGTATAAATACAGAAATGTTTTCTATTTATCAAGATTTTTTTTTTTTTGTCAAATACCTTTAAACGATGATAAATATTGAGAATTTCACCATAGCCCCCACCCCTAGTGTTTGTATTGTGCTTTTCTCAGTGTCAAATCTGGATTTTTTGTAAAACATCCGTTTACCAGTGCTCTAACAATCCTCGGCTGTGTTATAAAGTGGATAAATAATGCAGTTCGCATTTTGAATTTTTAAGTGCGTTGCTACGGAAGTGGGGGAAGTTGAGTCAGCGCTGTGTTTCAGAAGAAACCTAAACTGTGGCGAGAAGTGTTGGAGCCACATAAAAACCTTTCTTTTCATACTTTCATCTCTGAACAGCTCTTTTCCGTAAAACAATTGTGACCTGATCCAGAAAAATGAGTCACAGTGACCCAAATTAAAAAATTGAGATTTTGGTATTAATGGAAAGAGGACACCATAAGCTTTCAAATGATATCCTAGTCAAAGTCATACCTTGAATGGTTTTAAATATACACATTTGTGAATTATGGTCGTCTGCCCGTTTTGAAAACCTGAGAAAATCGCTTTTGCCCGTTTTTTTGTTGATATCTTTCAAAATCCTTTGCGTTTAAAGGGATAAACTATTTATTTTACAGCTTAATTCGACCAAATACATTAATATAAATGTGATTTAACCAGACTGAAGCTCAATATATATATATATATATATATATATATATATATTATTTTTTTTTTTTTTTAATAAATAGTTAAAAGGCACTTTTACAAAAATTTACTAAAATCAGAAAGATTGAACAGAGGTGCCAGAGAGAAATTCACTTTTGGATTAGCCAACATAAGCAGAGAGCAGTCTGTATTCTTTCGTTTTGAATGGTTCTGTTTGAAAGTAGAAATTTCATTATATATATTTCTCAGGTCTGTGAGGCAAGTAGGATACTTTATACGCTGAGTTTCTGTTTATTTATGAGACGAGCTTCAGTTCAGACGCTAGCGCCTCCGTGTCGTGAAGCTTATCCATTGTCTGCAATATTTAGTCCTTATTTATTAAATCCTGGTAAATGGTTGATGAAATATTTGCTAAAATTAAGATACAATTAATAGAAAATGAAATTCATTTTAAAGAAAGGCTTTGTGCTTTCTATTTGAGGCTCTGAGAAAGTGTCTCTTCCAGAGACCGGTCACGTCCATATATATAACATAGTTTTTTTCCTCATAAATGCGAACATGGAAAATAAAATAAAATGAAGATTTAATGTTCTGGGGAGACGCAACCCTTCTTCATCTGGTGGGTAGGATTACTTTTGGTTTGTGCAGTGTAATTCACATAGGCCTATTTATAAAAATATATAACGTATATAAAGTATCT